ATTCAGTGCCGAGTATCGGGTATTGTTTGGTTGCTGGTGGAAAACAATTCAAGCACCGATTGTAATTTTATACGTTTATATCTCATTTAAATAAATTTGTTGATTTAGAAACAATTTCTACAGTACTGTGGTAGATAATTCGCGAGGAAGCTATGACTGAAACAATTGATGCAATGTAAATTTCCCTATGGCCCATTTTAAATAACTCAACGCCTTTACCTTGTCGTATGGCCCATCTTAAAAAAAACACCGTTTATGTAAACACTACGAATATAAGTAAAATTAACGACGACGTTTTCAAAATGTTGTTTTGCACATGCGCAATGCCAACTTTCTTATTTATGAAATTTTATACATAGGCATTTGCAATAAAGACGAATCTAACACCAGTTGAAAAATTTGGTTTTGCGCATGCGCAATGGCAACTTTATTATTTACGAAAGCAGTTAAGTGATATACCTATCATATGCAGGCACTTTGAATGAAACTAAAACTAATACGCTGTTAAACCATAAAACTTGACTGTCGCGCTTTCGGGATTTAAATTGTTTTTCGTACTTCCAAGACTAAAGTGAAAACTTCAGTCCATTATGACAAGTACTGAAGTGTCAGCTTTTTGTGCCTCCTGGATTAAATTTGGACGAAAATCTCGGAAGATGAGTCTGTTTTTATAACACCAATCGTCGAAATCTCTTAGCGTCCTATTCACTTTTTTTAATTATCTAGGGATATACGATTTCAATTGAAACTGTGCTTGAAGGTGGACTATATCTATACGATAATCCTTTTCTTTTTTATCAACTCGATATGAGGAGCAATAACGTCACTTATTAGGAAAGTTGCTTAGTCAATAGTTTCCCAAAATAAATCGAAACCTAGCAAATTGAATTTATTGAGACGAATGAGCATAATTTATGTTTTCTTTTTTTAACCCTTACAACTCGACTTTCCAAATGCGTACATCTAACATCTGACACATAAAGTATGAGCCATAAAAAGAAACGGACGCACGACTCGAACTTATGGTGAAGCGAGAACGTGCAACAAATCGACGGCACATGCATCAGGCCTGAATAGCGAGATCAATCTTTTTCATTACAAAATGAATTGGCAAGTCTACGTAAAGAACCCCAAAAGTAAAAACTATAACAACCTTTCGTCTACCACAACGCGCGTAATTTATTTTGCAATTACAGCTCACGTAAGAGGAACTTTTTCTTGTACCTAACACCTTATCGAGACAAACACATTAGTGTATATACCTAACTCAGTAACGTAGAAAGTTATTTACCCTTACTGGACCATACTATCCCAAAAGTCTTTACCAGGTGCTTATTTTCTAATTTTCTAATCTAATCGAGTGCGACCAGTATAAAATTGTAAGCGGCAACTGCTTCGGCTCCATTGGCTCAAAAGCTCTAATCGATAGCCACAATACCAATATAGATTATTGAATCGTGTTGTGTTTTCATTACCCCATGTGGAAAACGTGTCCCCATTTTGTGAACTTGGAATCATAACCCGAAATCGATCACCATAGAAAATATTACATCTTTAGTTCCCCATCGAACGTCATAGTTTACCTTATCCAAACTACCAATACTTCTAATGGAAAAAGGAAATGTGCAGTAGCTAATTATTTTTTGATATCAATCACGAATAAATTTGAAGTAATATACTCTTCTATAAATTAAAACCTTGCTATGAACCTTAACAAATTTCACTATCCGTTTGTCGGATCAACGCAACGGATGAACGGAGAGCTATGAATCCACCTTTATAAATAGCTATGGGAAGAAGTCTCAAAACATTTTTCTATGAATTGTTCCATTTTGAGTACCGGATTGTTAAAGGGGTAAGAAAAGATTTTCGTGCACTCAAGTAAAATTTTTTATTGATACTTCTCATTATTTATTTTCATCCGAAATATGTCGTAATTTGTATTGTGCCCATTTCAAAAATTTTATCTGTTAACCACTTGACGCTACGGCCTGATGATGATAACTTTATCGAAATCGATGGCCTAAAGAAAATCAATAAAAGTACATTGCATACACTTTTAAATGTAAGTATAACAATCGGCCCCCTATTTACGGTTGCCTGAGTAAGAAATACATGGAGAGAATTCCTAGACTGTTTTTTTTGTCGTCAACAGCCCTAATATCTTACAATTTCACTTCCATAAATCGCAACGTGGATAGATTGCAGTTTTATAAAACCCTCTCATATATATCGCCCATTTAAATTTGAAGCGAGAACTCTGCGGATTATAGTGTAACTGTCGTTCGCGCTGCGAATCAAATTGAAGAGGGTTTCTATTGTTGTCAATTACTTATTTTCAGTATTTGGACCCACAATAAAAGGGTTTAGATGTTTGGATAGTACATCGTAGAGGATTTTACCGTCGTTCTTACGCTATGATGGTTTCATTTGCTAATTTTTGAGATAGCTATGAACTAAGTCCTTAGGTTTAGTGATCCAAATGAAATGTATCCCAAAGTATTTTATGATGCTCATTGGCCTTAAAAACGTATAGTGCACATATATAGCAGTTGGGTCTAACTTAAGAAAAGCATCGCCTCTAGCACGTAAAGCTATTGCAAAATAGCAGCTCTCGAGTATTACCCAACAGAAGTAAATTCCATTAGGAAAAGCAAAAACCGTCAATTTGAGAAGCTTAGCCGAACCGATAATGCTTCGATACCTTCTAATCCACATTAGTTTAGATCGAACAGAAAGCATTCTCTCCGTTCAATTGCGTTTTTTTTCACATGTATCAAGTTTCCAAAATTGAATATACATGGATCGACGTTCCGAAGTCCGCCCCTTTTATCTTTCAAGAATCGTAGAAATTCGCACGCTTGGCCTTTTGGTGTGTTAAAACAGTATCATTTTCTTTTCTTAGTAAGCTAAACCGGCAAGCAAATACAAAGAAAGGATAATGGATTAAATAAACATAAGGATAACTTATCTAGTTATAACCTCGGTTATAACATTCTGATCGTGTCAAAATGTTAGAAGTTAGGACTATAATCTTCGCAGTAAGACAATGGCCCGTATGAATAAAAATAAGCAAATGCTTATACTTGCAAAATTCAAAGTAAATACTCGTAACTGCCCCTTCATGCTGGTCTGTTTAGCAGCACTGCACTGCGTCCTGTCCTGCTGCTCAGAAGCGCTGCTAAGTCGCCCAGTGGGAAGGAGCACTTACGAGTATTTACTTTGAATTTTGCAAGTATAAGCATTTGCTTACTTTTATTCATACGGGCCAATAAGTCGATGGGATAAAGACAAAGAGCATCCGAATGGTTTCATGGGAATTATGGTGACAGAAAACGGGGACCTAGGAGGAGACATTTAACATCTCGATTAATTGCAATTGCAAATGACTGTGATGAGGTAATAGTAGATTATATATCAAGGTAGAGAAGTACAGTATTATTGCCCGAGCACCAAGATTACATCTCGAGGCGCTTGCGCCGAGGGGTGTAAGGTGCGAAGGCAATAATAGACTTCTCTACCGTGGTATATACAGAGTAACCCAACGAGAAGTATACATAGGGCATTTAGGGTATTAAATTTATAAATTTCGAAAAATCCTGGAACACGTCAATTTTGTATTCGAGGGGGACAACTTTTGAAATACAAATCACGAACCCAAGTCTTCACCCCTCTAGGTAGGGAGCTTAACCCCTAAAATTTTAAATGGAATCCTATGGCAAATGGCGCATTATTTGAAAGCCAATTTAATCGTGATTACTAATCTGCTTTGCTTTTTTAATTGGGAGATATTCGCATTTGAAATGGTTTTTTCCCCCTGATTTAAGTCCTTTAGATTACTTCTTGTGGGGATATTTAAAGAATAAAGTGTATGCTACTCCGCCCGGAACATTACAACGGTTGCGAGCACGTATAACCATAGTGTAAGAATAGAATACACTATGGTATAACTCAACAATTTCGAGCGATTACCCCTGAAATCTTGCAACATGTACGGCAGCATTTTGAAGCAAATCTTTATTATTGCATGGAAGCAGGCGGAAGGCAATTCTAACATTTATTGAAATAAATGTTGTCTGTTTAAAGTTATTTTTTGCACAATTTAAACGTTTTTAATACAAGGTGACTTAGATCGCATTTGTTTTGGGTTTTTTAGAAAAAAACCATTTCAAATGCGAATATCTCCGAAACGAATCAATAGAATGTAAAAAGCAAAGCAGATTAGTAATCACGATTAAATTGGCTTTCAAATAATGCGCCCTTTGTCATAGGATTCCATTTAAAATTTTAGGGGTTAAGCTCCCTACCTAGAGGGGTGAAGACTTGGGTTTGTGATTTGTATTTCAAAAGTTGTCCCCCTCGAATACAAAATTGACGTGTTCGAGGATTTTTCGAAATTTATAAATTTAATACCCTAAAAGCCCTCTGTATACTTCTCGTTGGGCCACTCTGTATTACATCAGTAGGAGTATAAAGTCTGGAAAAATCACGTATCATGTACAATCGAAAACAAATAGATAACCGATCTAACGCGAACAATAAATTTGGATGTCTCATTAATCTCTCAAAATACAAACTACAAAGGAAATGAATGTTAACATGAACGGGATGTCGACTTTCTGTCAACTATCGGAAACGAGGTCCGTCCGAAACAAACGCACGAACGCGCTCTTTAATACGAAAAGTTGAATGCATAATTTACCGAATAGGTCTATTCACACATATCAGTGCCGTATCCGCTCAGTTCCGTGAAATTCCATCAGTATCAGTCATAAATAATATCATTACTCTGAATTTAAATGAACGCATTCACACACATCCGACACAGTTCCGTATTTTAACCTTCAGTGTCAGAACAGTATCAGTACCGTCAAAAGTGCATATTGTCGCCAACGATATTTTTAATAAATCACTGACGTGTCTGTGCGTTGTTTGCTCGTTTGTGCGTATTGCATGTGTATAAATAATTACTTTAGTTTAGTATTGGATTGAAAATAAAAACCAAAAATGGATGATGAACAGCTGATTGAATTGGTTCGTAAATATTCTGTCCTTTACGATTTGTCACATCCAAAATATATGGACAACAGTTTCAAACTCGACATTTGGAATAAAATAGGAGGAGAAATGAAAGTAAATGGTAAGTACCTACTTATTTTTATTATAATTTTTTATGTCTATACATATTTTGTTAAGTATAGTCATATATTAATATTATACATATTAAAAAGTAATTCTCTCTTCTTGCCATGGTACAGATCCAATTTCTGAATTGAAGTACTCCTTGAAGAGTTCTCTCACCCGAAAAGCATCTTGTGTTGCATTGCCCCCCTGCATAGGCAGATTGTCAAGTCTTATTTCCTCTCTTGTCTCATTCGAATTGGCGTTGATTGTTTGGTATATGTACGTGTTTGCACCAAACTTTTTAATGAAATTGTGTAGAATACATGTTGAAAGTATTATATTATCTACATTTTCTGGTTTGGACTGTAGTCGCCTATTATAGATTCTAAATTTTTGACACAAAATGCCAAATGTGTTTTCGACAATTCGTCTAACACGACATAAGCGATAATTAAAGATACGCTTCTGTAGGTCTAAATCATGTCCTGGATATGGTCGCATTAAATAACTTTTTAGAGGGAATGCTTCGTCACCTACGATTACATGTGGAGCGTCAGTAGTTGTATCTGGCAATGTAGAATTTCCTGGTACAGATAAGGTACCTCGTTGAAGTGCTTTGCCTAAATTAGAGCTTGAAAAAATTCCACCATCGCTGTTCTTGCCGTAAGCACCAACATCAACCGCAATAAAATTGTAATGGGCGTCAACAAGCGCCAGCAAAACAACTGAGAACGTCTTCTTGTAATTGAAGAACAGAGAGCCGCTATTTGGTGGAGCCTGAATGATAATATGCTTCCCATCCAAAGCTCCCAAACAGTTAGGAAAATTCCAAAGTGTGAAAAAGTCGTTGGCTATAGATTTCCACATCTCTGTTGTAGGCTTTGGTAGCATTTCATTCAGAAGGCGCTCAGTTATAACCTTGCAAGTGTCCATTACAATCTTGTATACTGTACTATGCCCCAGGCGATAACTAAAGGAAATTGTTTTTAGGGAATCTCCCGTAGCTAAGTACCTGAAAAAAGAAATCATATTTTAATTAAAGATATTATGTAACTGCTTGTACTTTACAGTTTTTGAAATTGTTTCAGGTTCATCCTGTAAAGCTAGATGGAATAATATACGAGACAATTATCGCAAATCGATGAAGAAAACAAAAACTAAGAGCGGAGACCCTGCAAAAAAAATAAAACGGTATAAATATTTCGAACAACTAAGCTTCTTAAGCAATTATTTCTACGAGAGGGAAACAAAAGGCAATATTGAAAACGATGTAGAAAACATAGATGAAGAAGAAAACTCGCAGAATGTGGATGCAGAAGAAACATATGTATCATCGGAACCTAATGAATCAGGGCCAAATGTTTCAGATGTATTGGAACCTAATGTATTAGATTCGAGTGAAAACAAGCAATCTCATTTAACTCAACGCTCATTCAAAACATCATCAAGAAGGCTACCGCCACAACAAACTGCTTCAGCAAAACTAATGGAGTATTTGATAAGTGACAAAAAGGACAAGCAAGTTACTACTGCTCCGCAACACCACGTGGACGCATTTCTAGCTGGTGTAGCTCCAACATTAAAAAGTTTTACGCCATATTACTTGCATCTAGCAAAATCTGAAATATTTCACACGGTGCAAAAATACGAAATGGAAATGATCATGCAGCAGGACTCATATCCAAGACCTGGCCCCAATTTTGTTAACACAAGGCTACATTCCGAGCACTCATCATCGACCTCCACGTCAAGAGGAACTACTCCTTTACCGTCGCCTGTTGCACCATTTCCACAACATAGTTTGCAAAATCCAAATCAAAATGAATTTTCATCTGTGGGAGATTCAAACGCGACCAACAACCCTTTGCAAAGTTATTTTCACAACTTTCCAAATTAACTGAACATGATTTTTTACATTAAGTATGTAGAAATATATATTGTCGAGATTTGTATTGTTATTACTTACCTCAAACAAACTGCTAGTTGTTCCCTCGGTGTAATAGACTTTCTCCAATGAGTGTCTTGTTTTTTTAATTGTGGTCCTATTTTACTGAGAAGAATATTGAAACACTCTTCGGACATTCTAAAATATTCGAAAAATTTTGTTTCGTCGTGCATCAGTTCCTTGTATAAGGTAGCAAACTCTCCTTCAGTTTCTCTTTTTCTCCAAGCCTCATGTACCCATTTGCGCTTCTTTGTATGATGCGTCTCTTCTTCATCTAAAATTACAGCAATCATAGCCAATTCTCTGTCTGTAAACGCAGCCATCCTGATCGTCAATCGCTGAGAACTGAACTGAAACTGTACGGATATGTGTGAAGAGACTCCACTGGCACGTCACGGATGTCACTGAAACTGAACTGACACGGCACTGAGACGTCACTGTTATGTGTGAATCGACCTTTCGCGATGAAAATAGCACTTAGGCCTCCCATTTATACTAGCAATAAGTAATTGGGAACATCATGCCATCATGTATATAAACGATGAATGTATTGTCGTTTCCCTTTTCCTGATGATTTTGATGGACATTTTGAACGTTATTGCAGTGATTTAACACTGTTCCTCTTTTTGAAATTTGCCCACAATTCTGTCTACTGTGGTACTGCTTGGAATCCGTCGATTGGGGTACTGCACGGCAAATAAAGACGTTATTACTTCGCGGGCATAAAACAACTTAAACATTTCCTCTTTCTCTTCAGTTAAATACATGACAAACAATTTTATGATTACCGAATTTATATAAACAAGTATAAATTTAATATACGTCAAAGGCAAATAATGAAAAGTTATCGCTGTTTTTTTAGGTAATTCCAAGGCATATGTGATTTATTGTAAAATGAAGCTTTTTATTTTGTCGATTTCTACGGTTTTGGAAAACGGAAAATTATGAGTAATAGAATGAACAGATGCAGTATTTTTTTCTCTGAAAAAAACTATTTAGACTTTTGCTCTAAAATAATTAGGGGAGCTAGTAATTGACTATAAAGAAATTACCATTGAAATCCATATGCTGCGTCGCGCTACGCACCACCCTGTATAATAATCATAATAATAATAATTAATAATTTAACCTACACGAAACTAATATACTCCCACCTACATCCAAACTTACATACATCACAAATAACATACAGACATGGAACCAAAAGCCGTTACATGGACGATTTCCACAAGAGGTTAGTCAGGATTGTGTTGATTCTATAGCAACGCACACTTGGTTGTCTGAATGTGATATCTTCCCGGAGACTGAGGGTTTCATGTTAGTAATACAAGACCAGGTCATTAATACACGCAACTATAAAAAACACATACATAAAGACAAAACAGTGACAAACGATTCTTGTCGACTCTGTTCACAAACATCAGAAACAATCCAACATACATATAATATCGGCATGCACACGACTTGCACAAACAGAATACAAACATCGACACGATCAGGTAGCTAAAATCATACATCAAAAATTAGCACTTGAACACAATCTCTTAACAGATACGACACCATACTACGAATATACGCCACAGACCATACTTGAAAACAACACACACAAATTATATTGGGACAGGACACTACTCACATACAAAACTATCCACAATAATAGACCAGACATTACATTTATAGATAAAACACAAAAATCCATTTGTATTATAATAGACATTGCCATCCCCAACACTAACAACTTAACACATGCAGAAAAACACCGCAAATACACGATATAGCTATCGAGCTTAAGACGCAATGGAGAATGAAATCTACTGTTATAGTTCCCATTATTCTTAGTGCTACTCACGGTATTATTCTTACACCGTGGTGCTACTGGAGTTATGCCAAAGACAATACACAACAATTTACAACTATTAGGTTTAGACAAAAACACATGCAAACATTTACAAAAAGCAGTCATTATCAACACATGCCATATTGTTCGTAAATTTCTAAACATAACACAAGATACTACATACACAAATGATAACGTATACATGTAAACAACAGTACTACTCGCTCACAACACGGTACACAACATACTGTAATATCTCCACCAAAAACCCAAGCAACCACACAAATACAACCTCAAGAACAAAGAAACACCATAAATACAAGTAACGCAACATGCACTACAAAGACAGGTCCACCCAATAAAGTTACACGCCCTAGCACAGTTAAAAAACACATAACTCCTTCTTCACAGAAACACACCACGTTATCACAACCCACTCGTATTCAACCCAAATGCAAAGCCAAAGAAACACTTACACAATAAAATCGATTTAACAAAATTACAGGAATTATTATAATGATTTTTTTTGTTTTCCTCTTTCCTGATAGCGTTGGCTATTGTGCCCATCAATAACTATGTTGGTAAGTATGAATTACATGCTATCCCTAGATTTCCAATGTACGTGTGTGATTTTTTTTAAAGACCTACATAACTTCACCAGACACTGACACTAATCGTTACTTGATTTTAATCCGTAGAGTTCTCACAAGAAACACCGACCATAATAATAATATAAAACACACACACACACACACACCCTCTCACCCTCTCTCTCACACACCCTCACACCCTCTCACACACACACAGTAAGGAAATAATAATAATAATTATTATTATTATTTTGTTGTTTTTAACTCACTCATGGTGGTATCCTTCCATGAGACGAGTCTTAACCAAGTCATCATGTGGTATTTAGTGTAGTAATGTTTAGTGTCATTGATTAAGAAACTTTCTGACCATATTCGGAAAGAGCATCTGTTAATTACCAACTATTAATAACATCGAAGTAAAGTGATATGGTTAAACAATTTTACCTTTTCTGTTTCACAGGTGGCTACGAAGTTAAGTATTTTACTATATTAAGGGTGGCCAAACTGTTTACAACAAGAGACATTTCTTTTTGTATGAAATTTGCGAGAGCCACACTTTCCATGACTGAGGAGGGGGGGGGGGTCTAGGGTTTAACAAAAGATTTATTTATCATTCTTTGTGGTTAGGTTGGAATAGCACTTTCAGGTGCTGATTAGGTAGTTGCGACCGTTTTAATACAATTTATAGTCGAGTACAACGCTTCAACATCATAACCTGATCCACACATCGACTATTAACTCCAGATCCACGAGCTCTGTCTCTTTTAATATGTTTTTTGAAAGTGGAAAACTTTTGTTAATTAGGTACACCAACTTCAAATGGATTTAATAGAAAAGCAATGGCGGGTTCCAATTGTTTTGTGAGTGAGCCGCAGTACAGACTTGAAAGAGCCGCACTTTGGTCACCGTTGTACTATATTAACCTCCTATCACTGACTAAATTATACTAAATTGCTATTTGACGAAAATAGGCGAGACAGAAAAATCGGTTTCTGCTGAAGAAAAATAGCGAATTTTCGTCTGCGCACGAAAATATGGCATGGTCGGAGGTAACTAAAATTACAAAATTATTAATTCCCTTATCTACGCCTGGCAGCCGGTTATAAATATACAGGTCATGAGAAATTATGTTGGGTGTAGATAGACAAATGAAAAATTGAAACAGTTAGTCGAATGCGAAACAAAGTTCTAACAGTAGGATGAAAGAAAAACCGCACGAATAAGGAGTAACAAACAAGGTTAAAAACTTCTTTCTTAGTAGCACTAAACTTGCGTACATTTATTAAATCAATTTGACATTACACTTTCTTCGGGGAGAAAAATGTTGTTTTTCTTCACGGTGTACCCATATTATAATGAAATGAAACATAAAGGAACACAACGCGACGTCTCCTTGTTCAAGCAATCATAGCAATGTGTGCGATTATTTCAATAGTTCATAAATAAATTAAATTTAAGCATCTACAAAAGACTATTGCGCTAATTTATCCCCTTTATTCCCCAAGATATTTATCGTGTTTTTGCAATTGGCATGTAAAGCTCACATTTCTTTGCCAAATGGGGAGTGGAGGAAGGTAACTAAGGAGCTATCTATCGTGTGTTTAGATCAAAATGGTACAACGATAGCAGATTCTGACAAAAATAATTCCTTACTATTTTTTCAGTATCAAAGTTGAGCGGATAAAGGGAAGTTAGACAGTTGTGTTATTCATCGAAAGAAAAACAAACGCTAGAACAAACGTCTATGGATGTTATGGTGTAATTAGTGTAATTAAACTTGGTTATGCACATTCATGCGATTCGATAGTGAAAGCCGCAGATACGCATAAAGCTGTGGTTTTCATTGTGTTTACGTGCCGAGAATTTTTGGTTAATTGATAGGTATAATTTGGGAATGTAAAATACATAATGTACGTTTGAATGTCAACTCTGTGGACATTATGCCATTCTTCAAAAATTATTCTGGGTGTACTTATTGAAAATTGAAACGATTGCTTTGCTTGGAGGTAAACACGTAACACTTTTTCAAGGTAAGAATGCATGTCTCACATGTTAACATTTGAGGGTATTGTGTGATAAGTTTTTGTTTTATACTTGTAAGTATGTTTTACATCTGTAGAGTGTCGATTCGGAAGGCCATTTGTATGCCGGAATATGATTTGCAAGCTAGTGAGGACCTCGAGACGAGACCAAGTCTGTCTATCTGTACTCTCATTTCCGGCTAAACGACTAAACCTGCCATCTGACACGTTAAAATTTTGTTTCTGCGTAGCGATGATGTCCCAGCAAATGTATTGACCTAAAATTGCATTAGCTGTAGTTAACTTTGGAACTAGAAAATGATTTAACACATAATTAATGAAGATTTAAGGTACAACTCGCAGATTACACAACTTGTCGGCATTTCTCGAAACTACCCATGGGATATTTCCGCACGGTTGTGGCATATTAAGTTTGCCCAGTTTAAGCAAGTGCGTCAATTTCTTTTGCTAAGGTACTGCTTTTGCACCCTTCAAATATAGCTAAGCATAAATAAGAGAAATCCAGAGAGAACAATTATTCATTCCTGCGTGTTTTATCATGTTGGAATTACCCTGAAAAGTAAAACATTAAATAAATCTTGTTAATGTGCTTATAATAATTTATTTTGGATTTCGTTTATAGCAAGTCTGATTTGTTATAGAAATCTTGTGCTAGACACGTAAAAAAGAAGCACAATGACATGCGTATTGGTCCAATCAATGCAATCCGCAACCCTAATGAAGTGTTACAAGTGATTATGGCGACTTTCTGCGATATTTCTGCCGTAAGTGTTCAACGTTTTTATACGCATTAATGCGTTAATTACGAGTATAAATGATAAAAACGTCGTTTTTACAATTACATAATATAGAATCAACGAAATCTGTACATGTTTCTCAATTCTCATGGATAATGAATAAGTAATTCTTGTTCAATGCTGATATGCAATGAATCTAATCCTCACTCAGTCACTCCGTACGCAAAATCTGTAAAACAAAAATTCATAAGTACGAATCGATTTCAAATTTCAACACTAGTTGGTATAAATCTTTTTCTA